CCCGGCCAGATTCTAAATAAGTCGTGAGTTCTGTTCTAAGTTGTACATCTATTACTTGGCGTTGGCCTTACGCTAGAGTGTCCCCTATTTTATCACAATCAATTCGTCCTTATCAAACCAGTGATGTTTCTATGTCACACTGCAGCACATGACAGGTACGTATTTAAAGGCACAATGGCGACAACAATGTGTATAACGCACCCATTTGCAACAGTCCCGGGGATCTGAACTTGTGTTTCTATTCTTGATCTTTATACTTGGTAACGCCTTCCTTGGAACTGCTTCATTTATGGCTATATAACAGAACGTTTGCCGATGTGAGAAGGCAACAAATAGTTCTTATAACGGTAATTGTTAAGGTATGTCAGATTTTATGCCACGGATATCCTCGATATCCAGAGGTTACAGTAACGTTCACTCTCTACACCCCTGGAATATGTCTGGCTCAATTTGCAGCACCTTGTGGATGAGACGAGAAGACTAGTTTGGTCCTTTGATGTACATCACAAGAATCTCGCGGTGGCGTAACGGTAAAAAATGACAGGCTTTGAAGTCGGGCGCCTCTCCTTTGTAATCTTCAAAGGACAAGTATCAGCCTAGTGATTGCACAGGTTTTTTCATCTGACACCAATCAAATAGCTAGCCGCGTGCCCTCATTTTTGCTATGACATATTCAAGGGGTGTAAAGAGCGAAAGTGAGCGTAACTCTTGGATATCGAAGAAGTGCCACGGGTAGAGTACTGTGTTTAGTGGTCTCGGCGTGGTATTTCATAGCAAGAAGGCAGATACACCAAAACACCGCCTCCAGCGCACACACTGTACATGTGCAGTACACAGATAGAGACACGTTAAAGTTGGACACTAAACCTGATCAATCAAACCAAACCATTTTATTTTAGAAATGCTAGTTTCGTACAATTTATAACCAAAATAAACTTTATTTCTTTTACAACGAAACAAGTTTTTTCAACCTATATTAATCACTCTTGTTGAACTTGGTCCACCTAACACGTACGTTAAAACTAACACTCAGAAACATATAGATAGCATTAATGTCCTGTAAATAAACTGGAATATGGCATACAAATCTCACGACATATAAAAATAGAGACCATTTAACGCATCAGACTCGATTTCAGTCTATGATTATTTGCTTGTCTATTGAAATGAATCTGAATGATGTGTTGATCGTATTGTCAAGAACCTATAGACTTTCTCAAGTCAATAATAGGTGATAGTCAGAGACCAATCAATATAAAATGTAGGACATAAAAATCGGGTGACAAATAAAGCATAAAACATTACACAGAACATACATAAAACACATAAAACATAAAACATATATATAAAACATTTGATGTAAGCTGTAGAGAACATATATGAAACATTGTATACATATATATATATAAAACATATTGGACATTTGCTATAAGTTACAGAGAACATATACAACATTATATAAAACATATTAGACATTCGAAATAAACTATAGATAACATATAAAACATTGTATAAAACATATTAGACATTTGCTATAAGTTATAGAGAACATATAAAACATTGTATAAAACATATTCGACATTTGATATAAGTTACAGAGAACATATAAAACATTGTATAAAACATATAAGACATTTGATATAAGTTACAGAGAACATATAAAACATTGTATATAACATTAGACATTTGATATAAGTTGTAGAGAACATATAAAACATTGTATAAAACATATTAGACATTTGACATAAGTTGTAGAGAACATATAAAACATTGTATATAACATTAGACATTTGATATAAGTTACAGAGAACATATAAAACATTGTATAAAACATATTAGACATTTGATATAAGTTGTAGAGAACATATGAAACATCATCCTCGATATCCATGGGTTACGCTCACTTTCGCTTTCTACACCCCTGAAATATGTCATAGCAAAATTGAAGGCACGAAGACAGCTGTTTGATTGGTTTCAGGTATACAAAAAAAATGACCAATCGCTTGGCTGATACCTCCTGTTCTTTGAAGATAGCAAAGAGAGGCGCCCGATTTCAAAGCCTATCAATTTTTACCGTTACGTGACCGCGAGATTGCATATCAATGAATCAATGAATCAATGAATCGAACTAGCCTTCTCGTCTCATCAACAAGGTTGGCACTGAGCCTTCAGTTTTGCTATGACAAATTGCAGGGGTGTAGAGAGCGAAATTGAGCGTAACTCCTGGATATCAAGGATGACGAAACATTAGATATATATACTAGCGGAAAAAAGAAACTGTGCATGTCTAACATGTGTTATAAAAACAAATGTGTATGACGTAGAACAACAAGGTTTTCAGGGACAATTTGTTGTTATTTATTAACAGTTGCATTCCATTTTCAACGTTATGGAATCGACAAGTTCTGCTCAGGAGTGACGTAAACACAGCAGGGGTCAATACTGAGTTCACAAAGTTAATACCTCGTATGTCCACCGTTTGCCAGAATGCAAGCCTGGCAACGTTGACGCATGGAGCCTATCAGACGGTTCAAGAATGCTTGTGGGATGGCATTCCAGATCTGTACCAACACTGCAGGCAAATCAGCCAACGTCACCGGTTGATTAGGTAATGCCCGTAATCTGCGCTTCATTTCATCCCAGACGTGTTCAATGGGCGACAGATCGGGGGATACAGCAGGCCAGGGCAACACGTCAACGTTCTGCTGGGCCAGAAAGGCCATAGCGACACGAGCTGTGTGTGGCCTGGCGTTGTCCTGCTGTAGCTCAATGTGACGTTGCTGCCCTTGCACGAATGGAACGACGTGAGTCCGGAGGATCTCGTCACGGTAACGTAGCGCGTTCAATTTCCCGTTAAAAACCACCAGAGGCGTTCTCCCGTTGGCTGTGATGCCACCCCAAATCATAACGCTGTCTCCGCCGAAAGAACGTCGTTGTACCTGACACGCGTCACGGAAACGTTCTCCAACGCGACGATACACTCTGGAACGGCCGTCACTACTATCCAGGTGAACTCGCGACTCGTCCGTAAACAAAACGCCTGCCCAATCAGGGGCGTTTCTAGGATATTTGAAAGAGGGGGCGTAAAATCCAATCTTTTTGGACCTTTTTTTTGCTAAAAAACATAAAATAATTGTGAAATGCACTAATGTAACGGTTCCTGACTTGGAGCATGTATATTTTNGGGGGCGTACGCCCATTACGCCCTCACCTGGACCCGCCCCTGCCAATCCCGTCGAGTAAATCGCAGATGCCTTCTGCGCCAGTCCAGACATGCTACACGATGACCTGGCAGAGGAACTGGGCGGAATGCAGGACGTCGCGGAGGGATAGCTCGTTCACGCAATCGGTTCCGTACAGTTCTCGGGCTTATTGGTAGCAACCCAGGGATTGTCCGTGCGGTCAAACTTGCCGTTTGGAAGCGATTTCTCAAATGGACAAGCCGAATATGTTTGTCCTGTTGACGTGACGTCACACGTGGATTTCCCGCACGAGGTCGATCGCCGACGTGGCCAAACTGTTGATGTCGTCTCCACAAATCCCGGATTGTGTTTCGATGGACATGAAAACGTGTAGAGACAACGACTTGGCCCATACCAGCTTGAAGCATACCAATAATCCGAAGGCGGTCATTTTCATTGAGCCTCGGCATAGCATTAATCACAAATTAAAACGTTATAATGCTGTTTTTAATGTTCACTGGTCTCAACAGAGTGACCCAACAGTTGAAAAATAAACTTTCATTGTCGAATTGGATGGCTGGACCAGAAAAACGTGCAAACTGGTCAACGCCTATAGAGAGCAAACTGCACGGGAAAAGCTGTCAATGACACACGGATAGTGTGTATCTTTTCATGTATATACCGTTGGTAATACATGTTCTATAACAATTCTCCGCATGCACAGTTTCTTTTTTCCGCTGCTATATATAAAACATATTAGACATTAAATCAGAGACGTATACATACATGTACGTCTCTGATTTAATATAAGTTACAGAGAACATATTAAACATTAAATTGGCATAAGTTGTAGAGAACATATAAAACATTGGATATATAAAACATATATGACATAGGCCTATACAAATAGAACATATTAAATTGGGCAATTTATAAAACATGATATATAAATTTAATAAAACATATAAAACACAGAACATGAAAAACATAGAAAACATAAAACTATATCAATCTTAAGATATGAACATGGTATAAGTAAAATGTTGGACCAAACACAGGAGCCTGAAGTTCTGTCAATCATGAATAATAACAGTAATAAATAATACCTATAATATGCTTGAAAAATAAGCATATTATAGGTATTTTTTGTATTACTGTTATTATGCATTATTGACAGAACTTCAGACTCCTGTGGACCAACATGTAATATTACCAGCATGTGATTGTTATTATGCCTCATGTCCACCGTTAGAAAAGTACAACAGTTCTAATATTTTATGATTTTAAATAAGCTATATGTTCAATCGAAACGCTTGCATCTTGTACCGAATTAAATAAGGCCCCGGTCATGATAAATGAGAAAAAAAAATAAAAAAATCTACAGTGTCTATAACGTACCAATTCAAAAGCAAAACCATTTTCGGATACCTTGTATCAATACCGTTAATTAGCTGTCCTACTAGATATTACCAGTGTATAGACTGGTAACATCTCCCGGTTGCTGCTATTGAAGAACATGTAAGCTTCCCAATGACTCTGATCTTAATGATACAGATGGCGCTCAGCGAATATGGAAACGAATGCTGAAACTGGGCAAACCAGCGGAAGGTACAGTCTATTTATGCTAGTTTCTTATTTGTACATACGTAAGTAAGGTCTATTTACCGCAGTTATTTAGTATTCTTCGAATTAAGTGTATGAGGCAAGTCAAATTGAGATGGCGAGATAACGGGAGGTCAGAAAACCCCAGTACCCCCAGGCCTAGTTTGGCCCGTGCTATGGAAAGTCATGAAGCAGACTGGCTCTATCGACCAGTGTCGATACTTAATGTCATAAAACACTGCATGACTTTGTTTACTAGAATCGCCAAATGTTAAACAGAGAACGGATTCTCGAAAAATTGTGTAGAGTGCTTGATAAATTTAGAATAGATGTAGAACTAGGCTACTGTATTGGTGAAATGTTTTTGACAGATCAGGGGGAATAACTCTCAGTGACTTCCCGAGGGAATTGTGTTGTTACATTACACACCGATATCAACATACTGTGCTATGCTAACAACACCCGGACGCTTTATTGATATGATATGTTGTAAGTCGCACTGATTTGATATACATTGAAAAAGTGAAACATTGACCTCCATGGAGTTGTGATTGCAAGTGCAGACAGAGTGTGTGAGACCATGGGATTACATGTACATGAATGATGATGTACAAAACTGTAACGGGATAAAATCTACCGTCACACAACATATACAATGGCATGTGTTCAGGTTATTGTTGAAAAGTAAGTTTGCACACTGTTTAACTGAACACTATTTGATTGTGTCTTACTTGAAGGTTTGAAATGGCCTCTGTAAATGCAAATGACTGGTCCAAGAATTGATAGCAAGTAGGTCAGTTTGATTCATTACAGCTGCATTTACATACTTATTAATTGTGTACTCGCACATATACAGCAGGTAAATGTAAATCCTTTCTATTCGGTTTAATGATTGATATTCAGATCAGATAAAGGAATTCGGTAAGTGGTTCTTTTACATTATTTTAATTCAAACCAAAATACAAAGGTTTGTTACTGAATGCTAGTCGTTTCGGCACGGACTTAGATAACAATCTAATTCCGTAGTTTTGGTAACAAGTCGTTTCGGCAGTCCCGAAGACTTTTCGGGACATGACACAAGATGTTTTCGGGACTTAAGCAAGTCGTTTCGGGACACATAAAATTGTCACTTATAAATATCATTTCGCTCCCGTTTCATATGAAGTCATGATGTAAATACACAAGTATGGTTTTAGTTTATGACCTGATGGAGTCGTCTATGTCTTGTCCACCACTATTAGGCTATGGAGTAAGATTACTAATTTCGGGGTACTATATATATTTTTGAGACTGTCATGGGGTACAGAATGTTAGTCTGGTACCTGAAAATTGAAATTCAAACCGAGGTACTGAAAATATTTGATAACAAAAATATGCATCTAATTTATATTTAGCTGTTAAAAGCATAATTTTCTTCTCCTTAGGTTAACTGGATATTTTATCATTGTGAAATGATAAATTAAACTGTATATGTTTTGTTTTTTTTTCTTCCTTTATGAAAAGTTTTAAAATTATGATGTGTCTCAGTGTTACAAAGTGACTTTCACATTTGATTATTTTTATAACATTGAAGCGATTCACCTTTTTTCTTTCTTCACTACATACACAGTTAATACTTGGTGTTTTTTCTGAAACAGAAAATATGGTATTTTTCTGACTAATATTGTAGTGGAAATTGTTTATTTTTAATTGAAAGTCTAAGATGCCTAGAAGTTTCCTTTAATTGAACTGATACGCGTTCACATTTTCTGCACCTGGTGGAAATTACCGGTTATACAAGTGAATTCCCTTGCACTGCCTTGAGAATAAAGGCCTCTGAATTAGGTGCATTACATTAATGCTTAGCATTTGTACAATAAACCTGATTTTAATACATTTAATAAGGTAATGGTATCTACAGGAAAAAAAGTGAAAAATCCAGAAACAACTTTTGACAACCCCCAAAAAAGTCCCAAAACGCCTTTCATTTTAATTGTTACCGAAACGACTTGTTACCGAAACGACCTGACACCTTGATACTAATAACACTACGTACCATTGATATCAATGACACAATATGGAATGTTCTTCTTATCATATTGATAGGCCTGCAGATGTACATGAACATGCAATATTATTTATTATGAAGTATTAACCAAAAGCAAACTAACATTAATTTATACAAAAAGGGCTGAGTGCAGAATAGTCAAACAAAGACCTGTCAGGGGTATATTGATATGCATGTTGAGCAGGCTGGAGCCATATTAATATCTCCTGTATTAATTCGAAATTCTATTCATGAGCAGATTTGCTGTATTGTATAATATCTGTATTTTTTTAACAATCCCTTTGTTTTACATTTGCATCTCGACTAAAATAAAAATCTTGATACAAAATTTTATCATTCAAGCATTTCCTTTTTTCATGAATTTAAATAATGTGATATCAATTAATCAATAACTGTAAGAACATTTTCAAGTGTTTGTTTTACTTGAGGATTGCATCTTGCTTAAATGGTCGATTTCATGGAGTGATGAATTGAGTTGGTCTTGAAACAAATTTAATCAACTGTGAAGCAGTTTATGCTGAATTTGTTTCAAGACCAACTCAATTCATCACCCAATGAAAGCGACCAAAGCAAGATTCAATCCTTATATTTCAATCAACGTGTGTTTTTTCAATAATTGGAACTTGTGAAGTCTATTCTGATAGTTTGTGCCAGGTTCTAAATCATGTGCACGTCTACGTATTGACGTAATGTAAAAAAGTATAGTCTGTTATTAAAGGGCCATCTAACAACATGATGGTGTGGGCTGATAGTTCAATACAGCCAAACTATGTAGCAACAAAACACAAAACCATATTTTAAATGTCATAAGATATCAACTTTTCTGACACGTCATCGCGGAAGGAATAGAATCTCTCAACCCCTTGGGGGTGAGATAGGGGAATCGCAACCCGAGGGGGAATATTCTTAAGTTGCCAAACACAAAGCTTTGCCGATCGAGTGTTTAGTAACTTAAGAATCTTTCCCCGAGGATTGAGATTCCCCTATCTTACCCACAAGGGGGTGAATGATTTTTTTTCACTTACCCTGTTCTCCCAATGTGTATCATATATGTACAATGTAATGATAACGTGACATGCTAAATTCAGGGTTGACGTCAAGTGACGTTGACGGATTGTTGACTTGACGTCATTGTATTGTTGAAGTGACGTCATACCATTGTTATGAATAGGGGAATCCCCCCGTCTCAACCCTAGGGTGAGACAAGGAAATCTCACACCGGTAAAAGTGTGGATACACCTGTCCAGGGTAAGAGAAAATAATGTCTAGACTCAGTGTGCAGACTCCGCTGCGAGTCTACGGCAGCTATTTTTTCTTACAAGGAAAAAATAATATGATATTGCTGTTAGCTTTTCAACTGCATTTCATATAAGACAGGACCACATGCATGGATCTACGTTATTTTTCGATTTGTGCTTGGGGTTGATACTGACACAAGAGGCAGAATGTGTAGCTGGAGGGGGAATCTTTAGGGCAGTACATGTACATGACTTGTCACTACCGCTAGCAATAATGAGCTGATAATATTTTGTTGATTGATCGTTTTGGTTGTTTGAACAATATTTTGTGTAGCTTCAATAAAAATGTAAAATTATCAAGTGGAACCTTCTTTGTTTAAACATGTCAATGATAGTTATTTCCATTTGCAAAATCATATGCACAGGCAATGTTAATCTGGTCAAATTCATCGACAAATGAAACAGGTTACATTTGGTAGTTGCATTGAGTCAAACTTGAGTAGAAATTGAATTATTTAGTAATTATCATGGATTACATTAGCAACAAGTATACTTTAATAAACACGGAAAAACCCTGTTAAACTGTGTCACACTTTGGTAATCATATTCCGTCTTTGTGTATTGTAGAGTTATCTTCTCTTGTGAGCAGGTATTGATTGTTACGTCATTGGTTTGTGTGAGAAAATTACGTTGTTTTCTCAAAAATTGATGACGTTACTCGGACTTAACAATCAATACCTGCTCACAAGAGCAGATAACTCTGCAATATGAAAAGACGGAATAGGTCATGTACATTCACATATATTTATTATATATATAGTTGATCAGTGATTGTTAAGATCTGCCCAGGTGTGGTCATTGTGTATAGTTGTTTTTTACAGAGGGGTGGCAAGGGTTAGCACATGCTTTTTGATAAAACAGAACCTGCTTAGTTCATCATCGTTCATCTACAAATTTCTTCGAAATTAAAATTTTTAGAATGACCTTTCCAAATTGGGGGACTTGACAGGTATTCCAACCCATTTAAGGTATAAATATTAAAGGTGTACATAAAGTATTGCAACTGGAAAGAGAGAAGTGTGCTTACATCAAATAATGAAGCAACACACCCCAGCTTCCCAGCCCACTGCTCTGCCAATTGAGCTTAAGAGAAATTTCCTTTTGTGCAAAGCTTGTATGATGGCGACTATAATCCTATATAAATTAAAATCAGCTGCATTTTGAATATTCTTACTTTAAGAGTTACTGGACATGTGATCCTAACGATGAGCCATTTAGATGACTTATATTACACTGACTTGGACACCATCAATGCAAGAAGCAAGCGAGATGGATAGTCAAAGGAAACATGGCACAGAGTTGAGGAGAGACATTCTTCGATTGGAGCACATGGGACGAAGCTTGTAATCAAGCAGGCACCGGAACCGTTGGCCTGCGGATGGAGAAGATTTGAACACATTTCATGCATCAACTGGCAGCCATATTGAATTTGTATGTTTCAAGTAATACATAATACTTGTTCTCATTGAGCATCAGCTACACTTTTGTCAACTGTGGCAATATACATAAAAGTGAAAAGGCAGGTTATTGGAACAAAAAGAAAATCCATATATTGTGAAATAGCGTTGACAGATCAAATAAAGAGCATACTTTAAAGCTTGGGATATTTCTGTCTAGGACGTGACTGTGTAATGAGAACTCTGTCTAAGGATACATTTCCTGTTCCCGGGACTAACAAACTTTCTGAGGACCCACGGGGACACTATATCTCTTAATAATCAGATTTATCAAAATTTTGAAAAAGATGTTCTGGAGTCGCATGAAAAACTTCTGTAAAAATCATTGCCTTAGGAATGAGGTTATGGAGGGAGTATAGTGTCAATTTGTATGTACATATCATACATTATATGTACCTTATGACATACATTATATGTACCTAAGGCTAAGTACGTACATTTGATTGTAATGGTATGTATACATATATGTATATGCCCACGTTTTATCATTGCTCTAGGGATTTCTCAAACTTCAAACATTGTTCAAGTATGAGATTGATATATATATATATATATATATATGGGGCAAAGAAGTAATTCCAACAATGTGGACAAGTTTAGGTTGTCAAATTTTTCGGAGCATTCCGCTCCTTTATCAAGACACAGTGAAACAGAACAGTAACATGTACATATACATCATATTACAAGAAGATAGAACTGATATACTATAATTGAAAATATAGCTATTATATAAAACCAATAGTCCCCTCGGCGAAAGACAGCCGAAAGCAGCAATTAAGCTGAGAGCATCGCGGACAAGGAACGCTGATGTAGAGGACCTATTCTTGCGCAAGATACACTATCACATAAAGTGAGTCAACGAGAGATAAACACCAGAAAGAA